CTAGTGTTGAACACAAAAATTAGTTAATTGTTTAATATTGAGTATATTTACTAAAATAGATTCATTACCAAATCAATGACAACCAGGTCACTATCCCATTCAGTTAATAAGTTTACATAAAACTTTTTGTTTAAATCAAATAAACTTTTATATATTCTGAATAAATTCACGCTAAATACCAATGAATTATTATCATCCTGGTAATAAAATATATTGAATTAATTTTGAGCTACTATAATATATTCAGTCTAATAACTAATAGTAGTAATTAGTAATTACCATATGAATAGTAAAACTACCATCGCTAACATTAAAATATGGGAAAAATCTGAGCAAGAGCATTTCAGTGCAGCTATTCTTGACGAGTGAATACTGATCGTCCGGACAGGCAGTTGTAAATGAATTCAACATTTTTGTGAAATTCACAAAATTTCTAAACTGCTGCTCATATTTCACTTGCATGTAAGCCATTACTTGGTTTCTATCAGTTATCTCAACAAAATTATTGGTCGTGTGTGACTTGAATATAGTGGTGGCGTTCAGTAGCTCAGATATCCGGCTGAATTCAAGTTGATTTAAACCATTATAGTCAGTGAGTTCGCGGAATACAGGTTTGATGGCAAATGTGTGCGATTTCTTCATTAGTCTATCCAATGATAACTCATTTTCATTAATAGATTTCTGTATTTCTGTACAATTTGTGACATAACTCTCAATCTCCGAGATTTGATCCGCCAGGTCTTCATCACTCAACTCCAATGTGTTGGCAATTATATCGTGTAAAAAGTCTTTGTGTAAAACTAGTTCACTATTATTGTTATTACTGGTGATGTCTACAGAATTGTCGCTTTCATTGCATTCATTTTGTTTGAGTTTATTTTCTCGGACTAATTGTCTTCGTATCCTATTTTCCTCATCATTTCGTATGAATTCCTATATTAGTTAATCATATTATTAATTAATTTAATAAAATTAAATTAGCAACTATTATTATAATACCTTTTTCATTCCGATAGCATAACATTTTTTTAATCGACATTTTTGACATAACTTTCTCGTCACTGAATTTATATGACATTTGCCTTCTCTTGGACACTCGAGTGGCTATAAATACAATCAATTTATAATTTATGTATTAACTTATACACTGGTATTAAATAATAATTGTATATTTACTATATTTTTGACGGCAATCCTTCGAAAAAATTCTTTACACGAGTGACATGTAATGGCAGAAAAATTCCTGCCTAAATATAAACAAGTACAGTTATCACGCATAATTAAATTAACGTATATTTAAATTAGAGTTAAATGTATTCAAAACTTCATACCGACTCCTTTATTATCGCGACATACTTCACAAATTTTGTCCACTTTATTATTAGCTAGCATTGTTTATAAAGTATATAATGTTGCAAACTATTTATTTTTTAAATTTATTGAAAATTGTTGATTTCATTACATGTGAAACTATCTAATAATTTGTTATCAACAAATGTTATAATGTTATGACAACATATAAATAGCCAAAAAACTGTCGACCAATTTATACATAATAAAAACAATTTCTTTGAAATAATTTAGTAAAACAACTTGTATTGATTCAAACAATTGCATAGACTAACAATTTAGAAATAAATTATTAATGGAAGTTGCAAAACTAAATACAACCTACTAATATTATTACTTAAGCCTCAAAGGTAGCTATCAAGGTTAAAATACATTTATAATAAGGCGTTCTCTAGTAATAATACAATAATAATTATAATACTGTATACTTATTCAATATTGTGATTACATGAAAAAATGATGAAATGACTGGGTACCATTGAATCAAGTAAATAGACAATTATCTTATACTACAGAATTCAAGTAGACGTCTAGGAATCACACTGGGAATCATACATGTCCTTCACAATTATAATTACATAGTTTTAAAAGTCAATTGTCTTTCTATTATTATATCATACAATTGATTTTAATTTGAATTTAATTATAAGAATATTTATTGTGAAAAAATTAAGACAATTTATAGTTTGGTAATTTATTTAGTTGTACAAATAATTCCAAATATTATATATACTAATTAAGTATGTTATCTAAACCATCAATATAAAATTTAACATAAATATAGAATCATAACATTTTAGAATTAGCATATTAATTAAGTTGCCTATAGAGTAATTATACTAATTGATGCAAATCGTAGACCTCGCTCAAAAGTGGGCCATAATAATGTAGTAAAGGCCTACACTCGTAAACCTCTTGCACTTCGCACTGTTTATGGGCTTCGGCTGTAATCGTGAGGTCTGTCAACGAAACCATCAGTTTCTGGAGTTTTGATTCCGACTCCGATTGATATCTCAATAGTAAGTATCGTTGCAATAAATACACATAAAGCTGTTGCTCCAGTCTGTTATGTAAATTAATTATTTATTAAAAGCAATGTTAATAAGTTAAATATAAATATTATTACGATAGCTTACTTGATACTTTGTTTGTGAGTTAGGTTTGGTCGCTTAGGGTTCATAATTACGATCGCAGATAACTAGATTTGAATTAATTATAGAAATAAGTTCAATTAATAAGTTACTAACTATAAAACCGTATAGAATATAAAGTACAATAAACACCACATATATTTTCATACCAGGTCAATTATAACTTGATCCCTATTCCATTCTGTGAAGAATTTATCCATAAATAGCTTCAATGGGTAATATGTTGGCATCCTATGCTCTTTGAAAGACTCCAAAGTGACCTTAAGTGTGCTATTATTAGTCTATCGTAAAGATATTAATTTTAGTAAATGCTCAAATTTTAAAAAATAGTTAATTAATATACTCACTAATGGGAGCCGATATTCTTGAGTTTGTTCGTCAAAATACGGTAGACTTCTGAGAAAATTCAATTCAAGGCACCCGTACTTCACGAGTGAAATCTTGTCCTCGAGACACAGTTTCTGAAAACCGTCCAATCGTTTGGTGAAGTCGACAATAGTCTGGATCCCCTGTTCGTACTTTTGGTTTGTCACTCGAAACCCCTCATTTGGATCACGAATCTCCACGATATTATCGCTCAATTCGGTGTTGAATACGTTGGTCGCCACCAATAGCTCATCTATACGACGGCTTTCCAACTGATTTATGCCGTTATAGTCGGTCAGCGTTTTGCACATCGGAATGACCGCCAGTTTCTGTGCCTTTTGTCGGATTTCGCTCAATATATCTGACTTTCCCGACAGACAGTGCTTAATGTCCATAACCTGTCGACTTGATTCTTGTGAGTCATCGCAAATGTGTTCAATCCAGTCATCCATGTCATCGATGGCACTGCTGTTGCCATCGGATTCTGGAATCGTTGAATCGTTGTCCGAAGAATCGCCAGAATATGCGCTCATGTCTTGCAATAGTTTTTTCATTTTCTTTTCAATCATCAATTGTCGGCGAATTTTGTTTTCCGTTTCACTTCGTATGAAATCCTGAATCAAGAAATTATTTGTAAAATAATTATCAAAACATAAAACATTGAAAACTGCACACAATTCTCATTCCGATGTCAAAGCATTTTTTAAGTCTACACTTCGGACACAATCGTCTCGTCTGTACATTGATCTCGCATTTGCCGTTTGAAACGCATTGTAATTGCTATTAAAAAGTAAATAAATTTTAATTAAATTTAGACTATTAGTTAATAAATTGGTATTAATATCTAACTATAGCCTTGAGCGCAGTTCTCCGGAAAAATGCTTTACACGACTCGCAAGTAGTGGCACAAAAATTTCTACCTAGGAT